CTTATATTCTTTGCAACTCTTCACAAGCAAACCCAATTGACAAAAATTCAACTTTAAAAAGATAACACCACAACTTTTTCCACATATCAATTCGGTTATCCCTTTTCAGTCATAATTTCACACCAACAGCTCTGTTTTTCAACGAATTTGGTGAAAAGAGGAAAAGGGTAGGCAATGAGGGTTTGGTTTCATAACCAATTCCGAAGAAAATTTGATGGTCAGTGTTTTGTTTAATTTAACTACATAAAGCTTTCCCTGATAAAGATTATATATATAGCCAAACAAAACCAGAACACATAATTCTCTACCCTTTTTGATATTTTCTTATTTGCTCCTAACATGAAGCAGATTGGATTAACTATATAAGTATATAGGGACTAGACATAAACAAAAGGACTATGATGGCTAATTGTTTGAGAGAAACACATAATGTATTATGTTGGACAAACAAATTTTAAAGCGACAAAAGACCGAAGTCATGTTTGATATTTCCAGCACATTATGATAATTAATAATCTTGTTCAAAACTAGGTTTCCACATTTTCATTGGAGTTTATTGTGTTTTTTTGCTGCAAATTTTAAGAAAGAAACTTAAAAACTTTCATGGAAAGAATAAGAGAAAATAACTTTGAACTTACACGTTATATGGCCATTGAATTCTCTTGGAGACGAAATGAATGAACAGAATTGTCAAGAGTAAGACCATAATAGTGTCATATACATTGAGCTAGGGGGAATGAAGCCTGGTCCGAGATCCTTCTCAAGGATTTTCTTTGCTTCAGTAGAATGATCTCGAACCAGACAGGATTCCCCTCAACTCCTTCGTATGTCTGTGTTGAGAAAATTGGGAGAGAAAGGAATTGATTTGAGAGAGAGAGGCAGAGAGAACTGTTTGATTTTGATTTGGCCATGCATTGTTTTCATGGGCCCTTATATACGTGAAAATGGGGAATGCGTGGGTCAGAAAACGTGGTGTCCCACTTGTTATGGCTCCCCCATCGTGTCAAGCTTTTCACACAGATTATTAGTATTTTATTTTTATTTTTTTATGGGAGACAATTCTGTTCGAGGCGGGTACATGATTAAGGCTTTAAACTCCTTCCAAATATGCTACTGAAGAGAATCAAACACATTCTTTCACCCACACCTGCTTGCTCAACTCACATGCGCCAACCGAGCCAATGACGGACGTATATATGTGCAAGTGTGTGCAAGTGCACACAGAAATTTTTTGAAAAAAAATAAAAATAAAATAAAAATAAAATATACTTTGGGTCATCAACAAAAATTACGGGACCCAATTTAATCTCTTAAAAAAAATTATCTTGTGATCCCTCTAAATTTCAAAATAGACCTATGTTAGTCATTTTGAGGGACTAATGTAGGTCTTTTTGAATTTCAGAGGGACCACGATTTTGATTATCTGGGTCTATTTTTGAATTCTGAGGAACCATGAGTCGACTTTTTTTTCTAAGGGATTAAATTGGGGCTTGTAATTTTTGTTGAGGACTCAAAATGTTCTATTGTAACAGTTTAGTTGACTCTTGATTACTTTTTATGTTAAGTTAAAGTTTTTTTTTTTTGTTTATATTCTTTTGTATTTTAATATATTTAAATTTTTTTTCCTTTATTCTTTTATTCTAAGTGTGCAGACATAAATAAATTTTTTTAGGTCCGTCATTAAACTGAACTAGCATCATTTGGTATAGATTATTAGTATGTAGTACTATTGAATATTTTACCTAATTTTCCAGTTAAAATGGTCTGTGTAAAAACTATATCCTCCCTAGGGGAAGAGATTTTTTCTCCTTTCCTTTTGTTTTTTAGTTACATTTTTTTTCTTCCTTTTCGTGATGGACGGGGAAGCAAGTTGAGTTTTGTAACCTAAATGACTATTCACTTTCATTATTAGTTAGTCATTCCACATTTAGATTAGTGCCGAAGTTATATCTATCATAGATCTGAAGTGTTATTTCTGAAAACTCAAACATACTAATTATGTCTTGGAAAATGAAAAAGAAAGAGTTAATAAGATGGTAAATGGTTTCAAATCAATAAAAGATTGGTGGATTAGTGATGCAAAAGTAAACAACCTCTTTTAGCATCTATTAAAGGCCTGGCAAAGTTCCCTTTTAAGTCCTACCTGTCTTGTCAATCTCTTACGAAACAATACCACATAGTCCTATTATAAATAAACGTTGCATTGCTTATTCCTATTGGCTGAAAGACTTATACTATCTAAACAACTGTTGGTGTTACATTTGACATAAGTAGTTTCGTATGAGTTCAGATTATCTCAAACTTTTCCGTGTCAAACTTGGATAGAATTACATGTACAGTTTTACAAAATTATGACAGCAGGAGTTGTGCTTCACAAATTGTTATGATGGAGCCAGTTATGTAGTGTATACAACGGTGACTGTGGTTCTGTACAGTATATTACTTTCTTTTTATGAATAGGATGGAGTTTTTTGCTTATAGAGTTAGATGTAGTCAGAGTGACTTAAGCAGTGAATAAAATTGATAGAACACAAAATAGTGTGTATCATGATCTTGATATGAGTGTTTAAAGGAGTACTCTTTTGCTTTCTACTTTGAAAAAGGGGCAAATGAAGAGAGATGAATAGGAACATTCTTTGATGAATGATAGTCCCAAATGGTATCAATCCAAGCAAAAATAGAAAGAAATAACGCTCGTCCTGTTTAAGCTCAAGCAGAGGTAGTGGAAAATGGATAGTGGACACTAAAATAAAAACTTTTTTTTTTATAAGGTAGTTATGGGCAGAGTTGTTCTGCCATGACTATGATATTTGCTATGCACAAATAGCTTGCCATATTATATGGGGATATGAAATTGCTTGAGATAATTTCAGCATCTAACCATCATGTGCAAAACATGTAGAAATTATTCAGGTGGTCCTAATAGGGGGGGGGGAAGTAAACAAAATGCACCTAAGCAAAGTATGCCCAAAAATGATTGAGTGAAGAGCATTTAAGCCAAGGGAGTTGACCTAGTAGTTAAGGAGGAGTTGTCCCTCTTTTAACTATTAAGGTTCGTACCAGCACCTAGAGAATTGTGTTGCACTTGTATCACCAAAAATAAGAAAAGAAAAGAAAATCACTTATATCTTTGTACCATACACATTCATATTGGTTAGAGGCTACGATGCTATTGTCAAACTCCTCCTTTTCAAAATGTGAGACTATAGGAACCAGAACAGTTAATTGGAGAATAACAACCAAAAAAGTAGGCACAATGGAACAAGTTGAATAACTGTGGATGCGGTTGAATCTAAGGAAATAAAAATCACATGCCAAAAGCAAAAATGAAAGGTAAAGTAAAGGAAGATAGCAACATGTAGAAGGAACTTGAGGAGAACAGTGGCCCCTCAAGGCCCAACACGAAGAAATTGGTAACTCTCACAACTTTATCATTTTTTTCACTTACCCACTACTCATAGCCTATAAACACAAATACTAAATCCTCTCTCAGAATGATAGAATGCTCATTCTTGTAGATACCTGAGATCATCTGTGATCTAAGCCCTATCCACCCTGGATACAACACCATCTTAATACGTATGCCCTTAAGAATCTGGTATAAAAGGAACCTCCCATCACTTTAGCTAATAACAAAAACTTTGTTTTATACACAATTCATGATTATGTTCCCTTCCAGATTCCACAAAAAGAGGATTTATATGTTTGGTAGCGAAAATAAAATATGTAACAATTATTCCATTTCCGACCTTATTCTAAGAATAAAAAATCAACATTCCTAGTTAGACTGCTGGGGTTTTATACTTCACTGAATGCAATTTGACTTTACTTTTTCTAACATACTTTCTTTATTTTAAGCACCTTTTAGTCTCCCAATATACATTAACTAATATCAATTTAAGGAGTCTCTTATAACAAAGTCTCTAATGAAAAACTAACATTAAATCTTGATATGCAAATATTGAAGATTGATATTGTAATACAAACTTCAAATATTTAAATATCATGACCTTATATAAAAAATTAACACCCTGTGATATTTAAATATTGCAATAAAAAATACAAATATTCAAATAAAGGATCGTGATATTCGAATATTTGAACTTTGCATTAAAATACTGAAATATCAACTTTCAATATTTGAATACTATCATCCAATGTTAATTTTCCATCTTAATTTGAATGTAAGCCTCCTAATTCTATCGTCCTGTACTTAGAACCAGCAGTGTACAATACTTGTACCCATATCAAACATGTATCACCTTTGAAACCCCCCCTGCCCCCTCCAAAAATAAAATAAAATAAAATCATTTTCTTGATCAGAAACTCCTAAGGAATCAAGTTTTAGTACCAACATACGCATCGAGAAACTAAACTACAGAGATCTGGAGGGAAAATCCCTTTGACCATCAATTTTGCTTTTACAAATTTTCTCTCAAAAGGTTCTCCCTTTTGCCGTGTAAAAACTAAACCATATAAATAGTAGACATTTTTTTCTCTGCTTTCTACCATAACTACTAGACATTAATACCCCACCCAAAGACAGCACAAGCTTTAGGGTCCTTCAGCCTAGCAATGCATTCCTCTTGCATTATGAGAACAGTAAGCAAATGTCAATTTTGCCACTGAAAGGAAATGACCATCGCATTGCAGGTAATGAATGCCAATATACCAAGAAAAAAAAGTAGCAAAAAATTGCAAGAATGAATGAAGCATAATTACAATGTTCATCGAACAGCATTTATTTAATAATAACTTCAAACAGTCTGATCCTGGAGTTCAGGCAGACAAACAAATAAATACTTAAATAGCTCTTATGAGCAATAGGATTTCCTTTTACAAATAAGTTGAAATAAATTACAAATAAACATTTTCACTACTTACATACGCAATGCACAACAGCAAGGGCTCATAAGTTAAAGGAAATAATAAAGTGAACCTGCTTCAGAATAGTTGCGAGAAACAAGACCCCAATACTCATAAATTAGAAAAGTGAAAAACTAATCTCGAAAACTTGATTGGCTGCTGATCTCCAAGTCCACATGTTCACTTACTTTGGTTCCATTGATTTCTTCAAAATGTTCGGTCTTGTTTTTATGGTCATATATGCCACTGCCATCATTCACATCACTCCTATCATAGTTGTTGGTCTTCAGTGGGTGATGCTTCCTCCGAGTAACCGTTCCTTTTTCCTTGACCCCTTCAGATAAATTAACTGCGGTACTATTGCTCTTTCGCCGGCCCAGTTTTGGAGATTTTGCGCGTGTGGGTGGCAGCTGGCCCAGACATGTTACTCAACTTTTGTCATGCACACAAGTTGGAAAAATATGTCTACATGTACAACTTGATCTTTTATAATTATAATGTGCTGTTTTTAAGTTATTGCTGTTGCAATTTGGTTTGGGAGCTTAACATGAACTTTACATTGTTTTTGCTGATAAAACTGGATTTCATAAATAATACTACTAAAAGTATAAGAAAATTACACACCTTCTTCAATTCAGCCTTAGGTGGAGGCCCCTCATGGTAAAAGCTTGGCATAGGGTTTGCTTTAAACATTAAACTCTTCCTCAGCTGCTTGATAGCTTCCTCCCTCTCTTCCTTCAATGTTTCAAAATTGATGAAGGAATCAGAGTGAGAAAACTAACCTATAAGCTTATAAGGAAAAATTAAGTAACAGAATGACAATGTTATATCTTGTTTCTGAAGATACTCAGTGCTGTACCTTGGTCCTTGCTTCACTTTGATTCTTCTCAGCTTCCATTGCTTGTTGCTTTTCCTCTAATTTTGAATAAAACTATGGCATGAAAAAAGAAAAAAAAAAAGGGACCACGCACCAATCACTTTGAGGTAGAAAAACCTATCTAAACAAAGCTAACTAATATACAGGTCCTTACCTCCCTCCTTTTTTCTGCACGTTCAGTGGACCGAAACACTGGAGCAGAAGCAACAGTTGCCCTGGATTTGATTGACTGCACAGAAGCTGCAGTTCTTTATATGGTCAAGGAGTAATATCAATTTCAAATTTTAAGAGGAAATAGAAGAACCATTGCCAGTTTAAGAAAGAATGAGATGAAATTTGACGCTTTTCAACTGCAAGGTTTAAGAGGATACATTGAAACAACCGAACAAGAATCGTCCTCATCAGGATGCTTGTTATTATCAGCTTGCAATGGCTTTCTTGAAACTAAAGGAGATTTCAACTGCAAGGTGCAAGCAGACAAAACAAAAACTTCAAGACTAACTGTGAATAAGTAGTAATAAGAAGACAAAATTAACCTAAACAGTTCAACAATGTATTAAACAATGAAGTAGAGGGTTCAAATTTAATTTCATTAAATTGTAATATGTAGCAGTCCTAATAAAGTGCCTATGTTACGAATCTGAAGAACCTCTTAATGGGAGAGGCATCAAAAGCTTAAGCTAACTTTGGATGAATATGCAATAGATCACGTCTAAAACTTTGCAGCTTCTCTTCCTTAACGAGATATATTAAGAACACTAATAGAACAATTTGTTCTTCAAACCATCCACAAATATAAAAGACAACAAAATAATTAAAGGAGGAAGCAGATTCAGCACCAGCATGTACCTGATTCTGTTTAAATATATTGGGAGATAGCACATTTTTTTTATTTAAAGATTTTCTCTCGTTACTGCCCTTGTTATCTTCTTCAAAAGCAGGACGAGTTCCAACTGTGGCACGCTTCTCAGTTGCGAGGGAAAATGGTTGTGGAACTGTGGGCTTGATTTGAACACTACCTGTACACCTACTGTTAAGATTTCCAACAGCAGGTCTTGATCCATGCTTTACAGTATCCCGTGGCTTGTGATTACCCCTTGTTTTGTTGGGTTTTAAACTTTTCTCACAGAGGACACCCTCAAAATCTGAGGTTGACTTCTCACATTTTTTAATGTTAGAGACATCAGAAGTCTTAACAGAAACTTCAGTTGTACATTCCTTCACCTCATATTCCTTTGTGCTCTCCTCTGAACTATGAAGTTCAGTAGTCTCATTGATATGCTCATAAGAGACTGTAATATTTTGATGATCAGTTTCAGTTTCATGCCCTGAATCATGGGGAATGTCATCTGAATAGATTATGACACGATCTGGCTCCTTGATGACACAAATATCTGCATCTTCTATTCCCATCGCACTATAACAAAGAAATGTCAGAACCAAATAAATTGAATTAAATGAAATGGCCCAAATCATCTTTGGAAGAAGCTCAGCATAGTTAGTTTTAAATTTCTGTATTGCCAAAAACATAACAGAAGGATTGTACAACCTTTCACAAATATAAGAACATAAATGATTATTAAGGGGTGAAGTCAGGATTTACATATTTGTCGGTAAAAAGATAAGAAAATATAACCCAAAAAAAAGTTTGCACTTAGCTTGTTTCAAAGAATTTCTGTGTACAAAAAATCAATTATCTTATAGAGTTGCAGCTTCAAGATTGAAATAGAAATTATAGAATGCTCCCAAAAGGATATTATGGTTTAGAATTTTTACTTAAATGTTTCAACAAAACAGCATTGTATAAGATTACAATGAAATGATGACGATACTACATATATTCCGTAAGCTTCTTTCATTTAGCCGCTGACCCAACTAGTTTGGGATAAATGTGTTATTGATGTTGAAGCTTCTTTCATTGAGCCAAAACACAAAAGTCTAAAATAAGAACTTTAACTAAATCAATAATATTAACAGTTATGAAAAATTAAAAAGAAATAAAAGAATAAAAAAGTCTTGTGAATAAAATGACATTCTAAAAGTTCCACCATAAAATCTACAATTATGCATTTCTTTGTATGTCTAGCTTTGAGATATATCTAGGTGCTATTATTGAAACTATTATTTTGCTTTCTCCTGGAAAACACTCATATTAACTTTGCCAACTTCGCCAATCTTGCTATCTTTCCCTCACTAGAATAACCACAGTTGATTCTGACACTCACATATAAACACTCTTGCACCAAGCATGCTTAAACGTACTTACAAATTAAATAAACTCAAGACGATAAGAGAATAATCTCTAAAAATCATTGTAGTTGTGTTCAACCAAAAAGTGGAACCAAGGGGCAAAAGATTACTAAAAACTAAAGTAATGAGCATGACAGATTACAAGAGCATGGAAGCATATGTGAATTATTTAACATAAATCATAAGGAATAGAATCAATTGTCTACCTAACTCGAGAAGAAAAGGCATTCAAAAGAAAGACTAAAGCACATAAAAGGAAAGCAATCAAATTGGTTGGCATGTATCTCCAATCAAAGATTAATTCTCTAATAATTCAAAATCAACAACTCAACCATATCCGACAAGGCCCCATATGCCAGAGAAAAAGAAGAGTATTAAGCAAGGAGAATTCATATTAAATTTTAAAAGTACAACCATTAAGATCATCCCGGGGAATACATGCTACGTGGTTTAAATAAATACAGATTTACAGACACATTAAATTTTATCAAGCTCCAAAATTTCTTTAGAAAATATCTTATATATTGGTTTTTCACCGACAAATTCAATCTAACACATAAATCACACATGTGAAGAGCGTTTAACATTTGAGCTAAAACCCAAATGAAAAACCAAAGATTGTGAAATGTATGTCCCGAATGGATACATTATTTTTCCCAAAACTGGATCCAACCATGCAAAATCTATAAGTGCAAAATGCTTCCCAAGAACCAAAAAATCACACTTTGAACCATATCTACACTCTATAATAGAATGAAAATAAAATAAAATAAAATGGATTTCAAGTTTCAACATGCCAAAAAATTTGTGTTCTTCCTCAACCCCATTAATTAGACATTTTCTCAGCAAGCAATCACCCCTTAACTTTTAGATTTTAACAATCAAAATAAACATAACCCCATTACTAAAAAATCAACCCAAAGAGTCAATGACCCAGAAAAAAAAATAATAATAATAATAATTGAACAGCCCAGTAAATTAAGTAATAAATAAACTCATTACAGCAAAAAAAACACAGACACAGAAACAAGGATTAGGACAGATCTCAGAAAGAAAGAAAGTGCATTTTGATACATGGAAATGCAAAGGGAGAGTGGAGGATAAAAACATGAAAATGACTCACATTCTGAGTTGGATCTGGAAACAAATAATGCAACTGTTTCTGTATGCTGTGTTGTGCTGTGCTGTGTTATGTTTTGAGTTTGAGTTTTTTGTTTATGTACTTTGTTGTGTTGTCGCGCGTTTTATATGTGCCTCGTCGGTCGCACGCCGTTTCCTCACGGCGTTTAATTGCATCTTTCCAACTTTTGAATTTGGATCATTCACCTTTATTGTAATTAAAAAAACAAATAATTGTTCCCTTGATATCATAAAGTTGCTACAAACTCAACTCAATACATGCAACAAGAATATGTAGATTTAGTTTCTATAATGTAAGACTATCAATTAACTTTTCTCATAATCCATTAATGGTAATTTAAAAAAACAAATCAATTACTCTACCAAAAATTTCTTTTTCTTCACTTTTCTTTTTCTTTGTAATTAGATATATGTAGATTTTGGTAATGCGAAATTTACTCAAATACCCTTTTGCTTTTGTCTTTACATTTGTGTCTTAATATATAATTACTTGTTTTTTCGTTTTTTTTTTTTTTTTTTTTACTAGGAATCAATCTTTTTCATATTCAACTGATTGAGTACAGACTTATTAATAGAATCAAGATTAGGAGAATAGAGCATAAATCAAACAGTAGTAGAATGGGAAAGTCCAAACACACGTTTAATACGTGTATATAAAAAATATCTTTAATACAGATTTAACAATATCTTATTCTTCCTCATAAACAATAACGTAATTCTTAACTTTTAAATTTATTTTTTCAAAGTGGGTAAATTCTATATAAACAATCATACATATCTCTAGGAGTGGACAGAGGATCTAATTCCCCTAAATACATACCACTAAGTTTTTATTAAGTATTAAATGAGTATATTCTAACATAGAGTCATGACACCATCTTTTTATTTTTATTTTTTCATTATTTTATAGTAAAAATGGTAGGTATGTATACCATTAATCTAATAAAATAAACCATATAAAAAACACAAATTTAAGTGATTCTTAAACAAGTGAGAAATTTAACAAGCTCTTGTGGAAAATAATGTCAAGAGTTTAATTTTGATCTAACACCAATATAAAAGATTTTGACTTCAAAGAGTTGTTTTCAAATGTTATTTTGTTTTTGTTAACAAAAAAAAAGTTAATTTTTTGTTAATATTACCAGTATATATTATTTAATAATAGTGTATGAAAAAGTCTCATAAATCAAATTAAAATATAAATAGATAAATGGGAGCAGTTATAATCTCATTCTTGACGTAAAATACTAATTAATTTTGTCGTTGTCGTTATATATTTACGCATACTTATCGAATTGTATAAGTCAATAAGAAAAATTGTCTCTCTCGATCCAGCTAAGCACGCATACCTCTGAATGTATGCTAATCAAAAGCCCAAACCTTTCTTATGTTGACAGTTTTAGAATAATTAGCATATCTTAAGACTCATTCATGGTGACCAGTGAGCATCACCATGACACCAAACTATGATATTAATTCATGTCTTTAAGAAAAGTGATTAAAGAAAAGACATCCCATCTAAAGCATTGCTTAGACCCTATACTTGACTGTTCTTGCTTAACCCCTTGATTAATGCCCAACACCCTCTTCTAATTTTTCAAATCGTAAATAATTCATTCAAAGCCCACGACACGTCCATAATTACCATAAAATGAAATAGTGTCGGTTTGAAATTTTGAACATAAAGATGTTACTCTTTGTATTTGAGTTATTGTGCAGTTCTTGAATTTTGTCTCTAGTCATCAATCATTTGCAACTTATGTAATGCCTAACGTATATAACAGACACAATTTGTATTTAATGGGTATGGATGTTTTCCAAACGAAAGCTCAAACCTTTAATCGACGCATTAAAAGGAGCAAAGTTTTCATAGGAATTACATGTTTATTAATAAGTATAGAGTAAGTTGGACATTAGGGCTAGGGATGTGCATGGGTCCAACCGAATTGAATTTTTTGAAAAATCAAACCGAATTGGTTTAAATAGATTGGTTCGAAAATAGTTCGGTTCGGTTCATGAACTGGTTTTTAAAAATCAGTTATTTTAAGGGCGGTTTGGTTCGGTTCATGATTTGGTTCAGTTTTTTTGTTATTTTACACACCCCTAATTACGACTGTGCTATTTTCTGTCCCAGTGGTTAGCGTTGCTCTTTCATTAAGAATATAGCAAAGCTCTATTTGGAAGTGCATGAATTAATTTCTTCGAACATTGAAAATATAATTTATATACAAATTCTATTAAAAAAAAGCGTGTTCCATAATTTCATCTTGCAACCAACTTATATTTCGACATAAGTAAAAAAATATGAACCATTGGAGCTTAGTTAAACTTTGTCTCAAACAAATTCTTGGAAAATTTTGAGGGTTGGAGGACGTGCCTCTCTCATCGATTGGAGATTAGTTTCATCCTTCCTTTGGTGGCGAAATTCAATACACCTGCCCTTCCGATGAGGGGGTAGCCTTCAAGACCGTACTCCAAGAACAAAGTGACCGGACTCGCCCTTCCGATGAAGGCTAGGTGACCAAACTCGCCCTTTTGATGAAGGATAGCCTTCAGGGCCGTACTATGAGAACAAGATGACCGGAAAAAGGTTGAATAAGAATACAGAATACCTTCAGGTTGTACCAAAAAAAAAAAAACCATTGAAATCCATTGAATTACGGCAAGAACCCACTCTATAATCAAAACTCAAACCAAGCCTTAACTAGTAAGAAACGCATAGAATATACATACATGTCATCCTATGGATTACTCAGTAACTCACACCTGATCATCACCTCACCCAGCCAATGAATAAACGACGAAGGCATGTTTCCAGCTAAGTCTCAATAATGTAGCTCAGCAAGAGCCATCCCACATAGAGATATAGGCTATGAAGGTCCCTCAATGGACCAATCAGAAGATAAATCAAAGCAGGTTATGTCATGCACTATAAATAAAGAGGCTAAGATCTAAGTAAATTTATTTTCTCCATATTACTTAAACTTATTTAATCACATACTAACTTAAGCGTTGGAAATTTGGAATACTTGCATACCGTGCGTTCCATATCAACAATTTGTTACATCCACACCTCATCCCAAGATGCCATCCCTTGCAAAGGCCTACGATCCCAAAGATATTAAGCTTCAGCATTAGAATAAATCAATTTGGACCAAACTCCACCATAATGTGATTAGGCCCAATTTCTTATGATTTCATCAGTACATAAGAGGTTATTTGAGAGTTCAAAAAGCTTCACCATATTTTATTTTGAAAATTCATATTATTATACTTGAACACGAGTAAGTTCTGAATATATATGTCAAGCGAAAATGTCAACTTTTTATCAAATAGAGGCTACGTTAAAATAAAATAAAAAATTATTTACAGGTCAAATATCACAAGCTCAACTCAAGTCTAGTCAAGTGTGAATCGTGAAAGTTAGCTGACATTGTGCTAGAGACATGTTGTGATTTGAGAGTTTTAGCTGATATATTCTCTTGAATCTCTTCGTAGAAGAAGCAATAGACACACACACGTATCCATAAAGGGTTACTCCAATTGCCAAACTAAAATATATGCACTTTTTTATTATTTTCTAATTACTTTTATTTATTGAATCCAGCTATTCCAACTATTGTAATCATAGGTGAGACTTTGAAACACAATATGTGGACACTTTGAGAAAAGCAAAATCTCTTTTCTCACCATACAGAGAAATCCAACTAACAGGATGTAATTATGCTATTCTGGTTGGGTTGCAATCAATTGTTGCTTTAACACCTTTAAATTTCTAATAATTTTAACAATAATAAAATATTTCTAAAATAGAGAAATTATCAAAAATAACATTTAATTATTTATTAAGATTACATAAATATTGCGGAAACTAAATTAGAAATCAATTTTGAAAAATATTACCGCCGCACATGTAACAGGGACAAGTGCAAGGCTAACTACAACATAATCTTATTCCAAAATATATATTCAATATAAATATTTAAAAATTTAAAATATAAATTCAGAATCTAAATATATCTAGTACATTTATTAAATCCTAAACTTAGCTTGAAATTTTTGAGACATTATCCTCACTGTTCATTGCTAGCCACATCATTTGCAACCTGCTTCACTGGAAATCTGCTCCCCGAAGGACCATTGCAGCTAAACAAACACAAACAAAAACAGTCAGCAAAGCTGGTAATCTTAATCAAAACATAATTTATAAACTCAAATATAATAATCACATAATAATTGAATCAAATGTCAATTTCAATATTCATCATATATATTCACATCAAATTAGATATTATCCATTATCTTTATTAAGTTTATTTAGTGGGAAGAGAATCATGGTAGACCTGGGAGACCCTATTAGTCACAAATAATTAAATTTGGCTATCATCAAAACATATTTTCCTAGTGTACACACATCTTCCCAGGAAAATAATAGCAATTTATAATACAATAAATTAATAATAATAATAATAAAAAATTATAAATTAGTAGTAATAATAATAATATTATATATATATATATATATATTATTAGGATTAGATGATAAATTATGATACTATGAGAATTATGATAATATGAGATTTATGTCAATATGAAATTTATGATACTATGATATTTATGATAATATGAGATTTATGATACTACGAGAACTATGATACCATGAGATTTATGATTTTGATACTATGAGATTTATGATTGTGATAATATGTGAAATTATGATTTAAAATTATGTGTGATTAATTAACCAGTGGGAGGATAGCTTTGGGATGGTACCTCCTAAAGTGATAAACACAACCTTTGGGCTTTATGCTTGCCTCCGATATTTATATGATGTGAAAAGATATTATTTGTTTTTCTCAAAGTGGTATCTAGCAGGATTTCTCGGGATATTAGTAGCAGCTTTGGAAAGATGTGTGCACACTAGGAAGAGATGTTTTGATGATGGCCAAATTTGATTATGTTTCCCGAGTCACAGGATTTTTTGGGTTTACCATGGTCTCTTTCCACTAAATAAACTTATTTTTTGGGTTTACCATGGTCTCTTCCCACTAAATAAACTTAATAAAGATAATGAATAATATCTGATTTGATGTGAATATATATGATGAATATTGAAATTGACATTTGATTTAATTATTATATTTGAGTTGTATAAATTGTGTTTTGATTAGGATTACCAGTTTTGCTAACTGTTTGCATTTGTGTTTGTTTGGCTGTAATGATCCTTTGGGGGAACAGATATCCAGTGCAAGTTGCAAATGACGGGGGTAGCAGTGAGGATAATATCTCGAAAATTTCAAGCTAGGTTTATGATTTAATAAATGTATTAGATATATTTAGATTCTGAATTAATATTTTAAATTTTTAAATATCTACATTGAATATATATTTTGGATTAAGATTATGTTTTAGTTAGCCTTGCACTTGTCCCAATTACATGTGCGGCAGTAACATTTTCCAAAATTGATTTTTAATTTAACTTCTGCAATATTTATGTAATTTTAATAAATAATTAAATTTTATTTTAACAATTTCTCTATTATATAACTATTATATTATTGTTAAAAAATTTAGAAAATTAAATCAAATGTCAATTTCAATATTCATGATATATATTCATATCGAATCATATATTATTCATTATCTTTATTAAGTTTATTTAGTGGGAAGAGAATCATGGTAGACCTAGAAAATCCTATGAGTCTATTATGTGATCCGAAAAACCCTGCCAGTTACAAATAATCAAATTTGGTCATCATCAAAACATCTCTTCCTAGTTTACACACCTCTTCACAAAGTTAGTACTAGTATACAAACCCTGCCACATATCACCTTGAGAAGAACAGGTAATATCTTTTCAAATCATAAAAATATCGGAGGGATAAATCCTAAAGCTTGTGTTCATCACTCTAGGATTTATCATCCCAAATCTATCCTCCCACTAATTAATTAATCACACATAATTTCAAATCATAATTTCACATATTATCACAATCATAAATCTCATAGTATCAAAATCAGAAATCTGATGGCATCATAATTCTCGTAGTATCATAAATATGATATTGTCATAAATCATAAATCTCATATTGTCACAATCATAATTCTCATATTCGAAAATAATCATTTATTTCAAAATAAAATAATTTTCGTTATATATATATATATATATATATATATATATATATATATAAAATAAATAAAAATCTTCATATAATATCCTAAAATATTTTCATATAAAATTAACCTAAGAGTAGCTAAAAGATTAGGATTACCTGGTCTTCATATTTGCTAACTTATAGAAGAAAAGCGATTTGGGAAGAGAAACCCGATTGGTAATCAAAGAAAAATAATAAAAAAAAAAATAAAAAGAAATTTGAAAGAAGAAAGAGTAGAAGAAGAGGAGAGGAGAATTAGTTTGGTTAAACTAAACCTTTTTTTATAGTTGAAGTTATGTGCTCAAATATGGACTTCGTACAATTATTTCATTTTTCTTCTTAATTTTCTTATTGGTGAAAATATCGCTGACTCATTATTGACTCAAGGCTAACTTATCATATCTAATCAAATTAAATTTGGTGACGCATCCTAATCCAATCACATTACCAATCAAATAATAACATTAATACATAAATGATCAATCAATTAATAATTCAAATAATCACAATTTATCATCTAATCCTAATATATATATATATATATATATATATATATATATATATATATATATATATTACTAATTTATAATTTATTATTATTATTAATTTATTATATTATAAATTATTATTTTCTTGGAATATTAGTTCTTGTGTAGTACATTACATTGCTCCTAGTCTATCTATAGGCAGTTACCATTTTATTCATGTAAAAAGTGTTCCTTGTAGACCCACTTTCCATATTAGATGGTTCAAACTTCAAACCTCTCACTCTGATAGACAAAAAGGGGCATATCTAAATTTAAAATTATTTAATCAATATGTTGTAACAAAAGTAAATTACATGCCCTTGTTCTACAATGAGAGTCCACGCTAAACTCATAAGAAGATATTACTGAAGGGACAATTTGGCTAGGGTGAGCGCCAATGTTTTTACACCATTTGACATATCCTGAATGTTGGCGAACTCTTCAGGCTTATGGCTGTATCCTGTAAAATTAAGAACAAGAGTATTAATAAATCCTTTTCTTTATAAAGATGTTAGGAAAAAGAAAATAAAATATTTTAGCTTATAACTATTCAGCTTGATATATGCCTTTGATCAGAATGGAAACTGGTAAGCATGACCAAATGCATGTGAACGTATCGGCATTTAACACACAAATTCTGCAATGCTTTTTAGTTCGAAGCTAAATGGATGTCTATTTGCATGAGATTAGAGCTCTACTTTCCATTTTCCAATTACTGTTGGTACTCTCAAATTAAATTACAAAAAGAACACACACCGCATTTTGTTCCCCTTTCTTTGGTTGTTGATAGCACAAACAATTCTTTCGGATTAGTGCACATAACACAAAAAAGCAAAACAGTAAATACCTTTGTAACATGGAATGAAAATCATGCCCATTGGAGACAACCTGCAATTACACAATGTACATAAGCAGCAGATTTTCATTTCACACAAGAGCAACCCACTGTATGGTTTCTTGTAACATAGTATAATCAGACTAAAATGAGCCAGTGAAGGTATGTTTAGCTACTGTCAGAATGTTCAAAACTGTTGAAATATAGGGTTTAGGTGGAAAAGGAGGAAAAGAGAGAAAGGAGGTTCTCAATAATATTCTGAATGTAGGAGGCTCTCAGTAACATTCTGAATGTATGATATTAGATTGATATGATACGAGTGACTAAAAAAACGTACTGACACCTATTTAAACTAATAATTAGGTCAAGTATTAGTGTAGTAATACTACTTCTACAAGATCAGTCCAATAAGTCTACTGACATAACAAGACTCCTAACATAATAAGAATTCTAAGATTCTAACGAGAATTATATTAAATAACATATATACAGTTATCGTGCAAGTCAAAATTGTGAGAAAATGGCAAATTTGGTGAGGCAAAAAGATACTCTACCCATTTACTAGCATGCTAAAGAACAAGACTTCCTTTCTCCTTATTTTTACTTTCCACCCCTTGCCCACCGTTTTGTTTTCCTTTTTGATGAGGTTTGGTTCTTGAATAAAGAGAAAAAGCCAATTGTATTTCAATAGTGCATTATCCCAGTAAATGTGAAATAAAGAACCTTTAGATGAACATTTTTCTTGCTTAGATCCTATACTGATCTCACTTGGAACTTGAAAATTTAAGAAAGGATGTTTTGGGGCACTTCATAAGGAAATAATTTATGCATATTTAAAACCATCTGTCACCTCTCTCTGGAATTACCTGGCCATAAACAACGAATCATGATAGGCTCTACTAATCATCAACTTGCTTGTCAAGTTCAGCTCTTTTGTTGCAGTTTCCATTGCCTTGATGACTGTTTCATCAGAAAGGGCCGGTGGATCCTGATTGATGATATGAAAATCAGAAAGCTTGACACCTCGGGTTTTGGCTATTCTAATTGCTGATTGGTGGATTTTCTCAATCACTTGGTTTCTTCTTTCCTCATCAATGTCTCTTGTGTCTGCAACACCACAAAATAATTACAATGTGAATATTTATATAAACAAGTATAATATACTAGTAACTAGAATTATCCGTAGGTAGAAAGAAATAGTCAAACAGTTTTCTATAACAAAAATATTGGAACAACTATTGCATGGGAAAACCAATAGTAATTAAACATTGTAAGAATGCCAGGTATGACTATAGTTGTCCTGTAAATACATACCAATTTCTATGTGTGCTTTGCTAGGGATGCTGTTGATTGCTCCAGGATGCAGTTCCAAGATGCCTTGCAAAATAAAAGAGGTTAATTTAAATGAATGTTCTAGATTAACCGAGTTACTGCAATAATAACTTACCAACGGTGCCAACAGTATCAATAGACCCAGATTCCAACACATGTTTCTCAACAGCCAGGGCTAATTCAGAGGCTGCCAGACCGGCATCATTTCTGCTCCAAATGATTTATAAATTATACTTGAAGCATTAGAATTCATTAATTAAGAAAATTCAAAAGTAGTGGACTAGATAATGTAATGGGATCAAGAGATAGTATGCTACTCGATGCTACAATTATTTCACTCAAAATTATGGAAAGATCTAGAATAACATCAAAAAGAAAAAAGAAAAAAGAACAAAGATCCGAAAACTGAAGTTTAGTTAAAGACAGTATCAACTGAAGTTGGAAAGCAGAAAAAAAAAGAAAAATGCTTGATAATAAACTTAGGGAAGAATATGAGCAACATAAGTTGCAGTTCAAGTGAATGCAACAATAGAAAAGGACAAAGGTGCAATCCCACAAAAGAAAAGAAGAATATCTATTTTAAGATTGTAGCCACCTGTTAGGCATAAGGACAGCACCAGCATGGCCACCATTGCCTTCAAATTCAACCTTTAGACTTGCTGGAGCTGCAATTGCAGTAACTATGCCTATAGATATACCTGAGTCCAGAAACAAATTACATATCATCATTGAAATTATGGCTAAGGCAAAGATTACGTTAGCCTAGAGAGATGTACTTTCTTCTTCCAGAATAGGCCCTTGTTCTATGTGCAGCTCTACAAAAGCAGAATATGTTCCTTTCTTTAAAGATACACTGGATAAGTCATCTTCATCTTTCGCATACCCAGCAGATCTTGCAGCATCTAAGAAGGATATGTTTTGACTATCAGTTGTTGTCTTTAGAGAATTTTCTAGATTCTCATTCCCAGACATTAAGCGGCTGCACATGAGTAACAAATGATGAAACTTAAAGTAGAATATGGAGTGTAAGTTAAGTCTATCAGAAATTGTAAGATAACATAAATTGAGAGGATAGAAGTGAATTATTGATTTATTCATAAAAATAGCCACAAGTAGGAGTCCTATTCTGAGATAGTATATAAATGCTTTTTCTCACCTTCCCAGGCAACTAATTCCAAAGCGTGTAGGTTCTTCTGATGTGAATAATATGACTTCCAAGGGTCTTCTAGGGGTAAAACCACACCTATGAAGATTTCAGTCAATATCACAAACATTAATACTTATTACAAAAGTGGATAATGATTGGACACTGTAAATCATCTTCACAATTTGGATCTTTCTTATAAGTAATTAAAAGGAATAAGTTGTATTTCAAACTTACTCAGTTAAATATAGTCACATAAATTGATAATTTGTACTTTGTTATTTGCAAGAGATAGCAAGCATATAGGTTAGAAATGAAAATAAAGAGGTTGGACAAAAGATATGGAGTGTAATCTAGAAGAAATAAGAGAAGCAGGTTAGACAAGTAAGATGACAATTAGGAGAATTATTTGGGGCAAGTGGTTAAATAACAGAAAATGTAAAGGAGGAGTTGTCTTGGGAAAAATTAGTATCGACTCGGTAGCTTGCTCTGGTATAGTCCTTGATTCATAGAGATTCAATAACAGAATCACTTTCTCTCTTTGATTCCATATCTCAGCATCTCAATCTCCCTAAAAGCGTATTAATATACCTTATTGTGCTCTTCATAAAATGGTTTAGACCTATAATATTTGGTTAAACATCAAATCATTGACCATTCATTGATACAGTTCTAGTGAATTCCAAACTAAGGGTTTATAGATTTTAATAACTTATTGCATACAAAAATATGTCAGCTTTGTCTTGATTCACTATCTCTAATACCATATAATTTTGGATTTTAACTTATTGAGAAACTAATGCAGAAGAGTGAAAGGCCGTTTAATACACTAGAAATTCAAGGTGCTGAAACTTCCAGGCTTTCTCAGTAATTATCAGAAGATAGCAATTAAAAATTGTCGTATTCTGAACATTCAATTAAGTCCTACGTCAGCAATAACAAGAAAAATTAAAAACCTTTTCAGGACATTGATGGCTTCAATAGCGCCTAAAACACCAACAACCCCATCATATTTTCCAGAGTAAGGTATAGCATCCATGTGCGAACCTGTTGCAGCTGCAGCAAGCTCGGGTTCATGGCCATCCCTGAATAAAGCAAGCAAAGATAAAGCCGATAGTGTAGTTAGTAAATTAAAGGCACACCCTAACTAAGATAGGGAAGAATATGATGTCGATATGAGCTAGAAGATCAAGTCATTGACGAATTGATAAGAATTTAGATATCAGAGAAAGATAATTATAAATGTAAATATCGAGTTGGATGATCTTCCATTCAAAGCTTTAGAGGACAAGCATTTGGGGAACAAGCAGACACTCACCAACGACCAAATATGTTACCAACAGCATCCTCTCTCACAGATAGACCAGCAATTCCCATCAGGTTTTTTACATACCTACAGATGGAAGACGAGAAAAGTCTATAAAGGCAGACATCTCACATTCAAAGCAGAAATATGGTCAAGCACACATGTGTACATGATTGAATAGTTTATTTAGAGGTAAAACTATACATACAAAAGTTAGAAAAACAAAACTTACCCCTCCTTTCTGCAGCATCAAATTCACCTTTGCATCCATGCAATGTTACATCAACACTGTTCTTTTGCACAGAACCACAACTAATTTTACAGCCCTACACCTTAATTATCTCTTTTAGTTTCTTCAAGAGTTCTCTACATAGGATTTTCTATTATTTAGCATTTACCAATTGATTGATCTTACATGCATCCATTTCACATTATATTTTGCTGTGTAAATAAAAGGGGCAGAAAAGATAGCATAATAACTGCAACTTTTATTTTACCCATTTGATCATATATATCCATAGACACACACACACACACATATGGTTACTATTTTCACCAAAAGTGGAAACTTTATTCACACATACCTGCGAGCTAAAACATCCTTCTCAGTATATAAGATCCTGGTCACTGATGGAGCAGGTGAGTCAGAAAATGCTGAGAGCTCATCAATCTAAGAACAAGGTACAGTTCAAAATGTCAAAAAACAATATCACAGCCCAGAAACAAAAAGCATGCCAAACTTCAGTCATAGATTTTCTGTGACATGATGGAATAACAGTGGCACACACTGACACTGATTCAGTACCTGGTTCTGCAGACCCTGAGCATCAACGGACAGTGCAGAGAGGGAAGTGGGTTTGAAAGAGTGAGGTTCATGGATTGAGTAACCAGAGAACTGCTCCATGGTTGTTGTGATTGAAGGGTCTTGTTCATGTTGATGAGCTGAAATTGCAGAAAAAGAGGTGCACAATAAGAGTAGCACGACAGAGGTAACCATTTTTAAGGTATCGTTGGTCTCAGCAGCCACTCACAACTAGTCACCACTGATATATGACGCCTTTGCACGTGTTTTATCCCAACACGTGCAAAAATCACCAAACAAATATATAGTAGTAAAATGAGTTCAGGAATTGATGAGGCTCAAAAACTGAATAAAGATTTTATTTATCATATACTTTATTAATTTTAAGAGTATTAAAAAAGACATTATATAGTCTAATGTTCAACAAAATTTGAAAAAAATAGTTTTTATAAAGGTTAATAATTTAATTATATACTAGGTTAATCCTAGTTGAATGAGTTGCTTAGGCTTGGCAAAAATGTGGCTCGTAACCCGGCTAAAATGAGCCGGGTTGAGTTAGGAAAAAATGAGTTAGTAACTCGAGTCAACCCGACTCGTTTCAGTTCGAAAAAAATCGAGTCAACCCACTGGTCAAACGGGTTGGCTTGCGGGTTATGTTTTTTTTTTAATATAAAAATATAAAAATTAATGAAGGTAGAGTGGAAAGCTAAAACCTAAAATCTCAATTCCAAAGACCCAAATGAAAATACCATGCAACTATCAATAAGTCCAAAACCGTGCATTCAGGACCTTTTTTATAGTATGTGTGACAATGTGAATGTGGTGTCAACTGCCAATAAGTCCAAGTCCAAATGCAAAAGGAATTTTCTATGGTTTATCTGTATAACGTCTTTGTATTGAATGAATTAATAATTTAAGGAAAAAAATTGAGAAGTTATAGCATCAATCAAATTTTATTTTATTTTTTCTATTTTTGCGAGCCAACCCTAATCCAACTCGGGTCGGGTTGGGTTGAGTTTTCTTACTCGTTTATTCTTCGAGCCAACCCTAACCCGACTCGTTTTTTTCGAGTTGAACGCGAGTTGGGCCGGGTTGACCCGTTTTGCCAACGCTAGAGTTGTCATATTCTTAAAATGCATTTCTTATACTTTGTTAAACAAAATTACTTTCTCATAATTTTTTCTTTTCTTTCTTTTAAATCAACAGTGGACTTCACTTTCTCATTTCTTCAGTTAAATTTTAAGTAGGAGTTTCTAATTCTATTTTAGTCAAGAAAAAAAGAAGAAGAAGCATTAAACCTAAATCTTTTTTAGGGAGAAAGAATTCTTATGTTGCTGGAGAGCTCTCTTCTTAAGGTTAGTGAGAGCTTATTTTGCGTGTAATAATTTTTTTGTTTTTTTTGGATCCCACCATGAACGTGGGTACCGCCATAAATTTAAGCGTGCAAGAAACTTTTCTTCTATAAAGCATTGCCCATCTTTTATTATATGTAAATTTTGGATTGAATTTTGTGACGGCCGAATTGGCAGGGTTTTGAACCGGAGAGGGGGAAAACGCCATAGCCAAAATCTTGTAGCTCCTTCTCCATATTGATGGAGGAGACAAAGAAACATACGTGCTTGAAGCTCCACTTTCCAAATAATAGCGACATTAACAGTGGAGAAGGAGAACCCATATTCGTGAAGGGCACTTGGTTTCACAGCCACTTCGACCTCGCCATCACCGATGGTATCAATGCCTGGCACTGCCACGGTACCCTACCCTTTTGACTCCTTTTTCGTATTCCGTTACCCTTTTCGAGTATCATGGAAAAACAATCATCAAGTTTTGATTTTTAATTTTGGGGTAATTGAAATTGTTAGCATCGGAGGAGGAGGTGAAGCAGCGTGCTGCTCAGTGGGACCAGCCAGCTTCGGAGTACGTGATGTTGGCTGAGCGTTACTTGGGGTTTCAGCAACCTGGTTCTGTGTATGCTTTTGATGATGCTGGTGATGGCCATAAGAGGGTAACTAACTGTTATTTGCATGCAGTTGTGGTGATCCCGTGAAAATTGTAGCCTTTTTTTTTTTTTTTTAACTATTGTTTATGTGATTGATGTGAATGTTGCAGCTGTCGTGGACGTTTGATAAGGAAGGAATGACACTGCAATGGAGATGGAAATGCATGCCGTCTAGTAATTGTAAGAAAACTACTGCAGACATATTGGACTTTCTAATGGATGCAAACACAACGCTAAGTGTAAGATTCTGCTTAACTTTTAGACTGTCTTTGAACGTGTTTTTTTATACAAGCAATTTCAAGCTCACTGTATGGCATTCGCTTGTCTGTTCTATAATGGCCATTGTGTTGGAGATGTCATGCTTAAGCAAAATTTTGGTACCTTTTTTCTGCTTGAATCAATGGTGGGATTCTAATAGCACCTTTTTTCTTAACATCAAGATTAGGGCAAGAGTCTTTCTCACTTATTCAAATCCTGTTGGGTGTGTATGCAATTCACCATTGAATAGTATTGGAATAATGTTGCTACATGCAACACTCCTCCCCTTTCTTTAGTTTTGAACATTTTAGTTAGGCGTGTTTGTTTATATCATTATATGCATGTACAGGAAGAAGTTGTCAGAAAAACTAAATTGTATGAGAAGATGAAAGTGGAAGCTGAGAAGTGCTTAGCCCAGAGTGAGAGAATCGCCAATGAGAGGGTGGAATTTGAATCTGAAATATATGTAAAGGTAACTTTTTAATTTTTGCTTGGTTTCCTAGCATAGCATGGCATAGTATTGTGTCACTTAAGAAGGCAGGTTGGTGTTGGTAGACTACTGAAAATATTAATTAAGTGAACTTTTAATATCTTCCGAATATCTAACCCATTCTCAACTGTATGTTGAATTCCCAATTTACAAGTTTATAGCAATACATGTTCTGCTTGACTTGTTCAAAATTTTGGTGATTTATAGTCCATCAGAGTCATGAATTAAACTGTGTTATTTTGTTGGTTCTCTGTTTTTGTAGTGATGAACTAGCTGTGATTAACTTTTTTATAAGGCTTTGTGCATGAGAGCCTTTTCTATTTTCTTGTAAAAGTAATTGTTTAAATCTTTCTCTTGACTTGTGTACTTCTTCTTTACCTCTTTTAACAGTTATGAATCCTTGAAAAGCAAGATAAGTGGGTTGGTAAGAGAGTGTTCCCTATATTCTGCGCTAAGTTTATTTCCATTAACCTCTGAGCTTTTAGCTAATTTAAGCACATCTTATGCTTTCAAAATTACATAGCTTGAATAAGTTTGTACTTTTTAGAGTCTTATACTATATTAGTTTTGACAGGAATAAAACTTAGTGTTTCTATTATACAATCATGATATATGAGGGAAAATGTCTGAGTAAAATGGTACCTGGATGCAAGGTCTGAAAACTTATTTGAGATTACTGCTTCTCTTGCTCTCTCTCCCCTTCTCTCTGCACTGACCTTTTCTTTCCTTAGTTTTCCATTGAACAGGATGCAATTGTTGTAAAAATACACATGCAGCTCCTCTATTGTGGGCAACTACGTTTACATCCATGTTATTGCCTTCACGGTTAGAAACTAGGTTAATCTAACAATAAATATGCTGGCTGACCTGGGTCAGTGAGTGCACAAGGCTTCTATAAATATTATTGCAGGGTCTGGAAAGGGTCAGATGTAATAATCTAACCACAAAATATTTGTATGTTGACCACCAAGCATTGGTTATAAATGACATAGATATAAATATTTTTCTCTTGGAAACTCGTATACCGTGCCTCAAGTATTTCAGTACCTTTTTATTGCCTCAAGTATCTCTAGACTGAAATACATTAAATAGCCAACAAAAAATATTTAATTTATGAATTTATTATCTACTATAGCAATAATTTGAGCAACATGATACACTTGCAATTAATGTGCTTCTATGTTGTTGATTATCTTTCTGAACAGTAATACTGCCTAATCCACATTTCTCTTTTTCTGTGTCAATGCCTAAATTGCGAGCTGAAACTGAAAGTGGGTTTAATTTAGCTTGCCATGAATGGGAACATGCATAAAATATAAATAAACATAAGATTGAACAATATAGGAAGACATCCCTTTCATCAACATCTGCTTATATATTGAGGCTAATTTTACTGGTGGAAAGGATAATTGTGTTAATATTACCTTTTCTTGTCTCCTTTGGATGCTTTTCATTACATGTACTATTACAAATCTTTGCATATTTCTTTCTGCTTTCCTTTTTTCCAAAGTTCCAATCTTTAAATCTGACCTTGCATTTGTTTGTTTTGCTTTAGTTTCTGGGGGTCTTGAATTCTAAGAAAGCAAAACTGAGAGAGCTTCGAGATCAGCTGTCAAAACAAGGGAATGCAGAGAAATCTCCTCAAGAGGAAGACACAGAAAAAACTGAGAGTTTTGACGAAGAAAGTGACGATGACAAAAGTGACGAAGATCCTCTAAAGTATGTTACTAGTTCTTCAAAGGATGTTAGAGCTAATAAGCCTTCTCGTGCAAAGAGAAGTAGACACACATGACATATTATCTGCACCAATCAAGAGTTGATTTTCACCTTGGATTTGACATCTTTACAAAAATTAGTTAACTAAGATTAACATGTGCCTCTTGTTATCCATGCCTCATAATCCATATAGAACAGTGTAAATCTTTTGTCTTCTCTTGTGTACACGGTTTTATGTACTTCTCAGGTTCTATGTGGAGTGTTGACTGCCTACACAGAGCTGTAGGCGGAAACCATTGCATGACCACCACTCGAGTAGCAATTCTGTGGGTTGGTTCAAGGCATAGCAGCTTCTTAGACTAGAACTATGGTTTTAACTTTTTACTCCTAAAATAAGATAGGTATTTCAATTTATCCTGGTTAATACAAGACATTGTACAATGCAAATCTATTAAAAATGTAGGTAGATGCATCTACAATTTAGGAATGGGTTAAGTTTTTTTTTTTTTTTTTGTTGCCCTTTTTGAGATATCTTGTAAATTTAATTTTTTTTTTTTTTTAATTCAGTTCGTTTTCCGATTTTACCAATTTTTAAAATTGCAAGATCTGTTCAATTTTTTTCTTTTTAAAAAGAATCATTTCTTTTCAAATGGGCTCTCGTAAAGTTTTAGAGAAAAAAAAATGTAAAAGTGACAGGTAACTTAAAACTTATGATTATTTAATGATAATAAATAGATATGGAAAGAAATAGTCATTTGGGCTTTGAATGGGGGCGTTTGGTGTAAATATTTCTTTTTAACTGAGAAAAAAAGATTTATAAGAATATGATGGAAAAAAAAAATTCCTGAGAAAGTAACAAAAAAAAAGTGTTTGATATGTCAAAATTTTATTGAACAAATAAGCTTAATTTATTGAAAATGTGTTTAGTTGATGATAGAATATTAAAGGAAATCTCAACTGAAATTACCAAATTACCCATATATAATTTTTGAATTTTGTCCCGTCTCTTCATGGCTACTTACTTGTTTATTTTGTTTTTCACTACTACACCTTTGCCACTTTCTCTTCTTTTGCCTCCATTTCCGACGGTAGAATTTTTATGGTTGTTGACTAATAGTAGAAATATCAGAGGGTATTATAGTCTGAATATGTTAAAATTAGAATCAGAGTACATGGCAAAAAAATACCATAGGTTTGGGGGGCATTATTTTTTTCCAGTGATTAGTGCAAATGTGGATTGATGGGAGAATATTTTTGTAGGGAATAAATGAGGATACTTTATACCAAATATAAACAAAAAAATATTCTCCACCTCACTTCCCCATTATTCTAAACAAAAGCTTCATACCAAACATCTCCTAAGTGTCTTTGTAATTTTCACTTCGATTGTCAAACTTAAGTTATGGGAAAAGTGTTTCTTTGTAACCCTAAAATTTTACCTCATGCAATTTTGGGCGTTTTGTGATTTTTAAAAAAAAAATTGTAAGTATTTTAAAATTTTCACTTTTACCTTGTATCATAAATTTTATTAAAATACCTTATATTATTTTTTTCAATCCACAAAATTATATCGTTTTTAGATTGTATGAAATAATATTTATACATAGTCATATTGGCAAATAGCCGAAAAATGTCTGTTTGCAAAGGTAGAGAGTATGTTCACCATACCATGAGTTATGAGTAGTAATCATACTGCAATGATGTCTTTGAGTTTTATAACGAGGCTTTAATTGTGTGCAGGTAATAGCTCATGGCCTGAGTTGGTTGTAGTGGAAGGAACGGTAGCAGAGGCTACTATTGAGAAGGGGAATTCTTTGGTGAATACTATCATTGTGCTAGAAGATAGAATAGTTAGAACAGCTTTCAGAAGCGTTTTGGTAGAGAAGAAAAAAGATTTTATCAGGAAAATATAATTACAAATTAAAAAAAAAATCACAAAACAGGTCTTATCAAACGAATTTTTTTTATTTTTTTTTCTAAAATTCAAAAACCTGTTTTTAGAAACAGTATTCAAACAAAGTTGAAATTATTCTAACCAATAATCCCAACGAAAACTTAGAATTTATATTTTTGAGTGCTTACCTAAACATATTTATTCAACTATTTTCATTTTACTTATTTATTATTTTTAAATTTGCTTATTAAAAACGAAACTACCAAAAGAAACATGTCAACATAACCCAAAACAGGGGACTAAAGCCCTAAAACAAAGGTGTGGTATATATAGGTTCCTTTTCTAATTGTAAATGGTGATCAAATTTTATTATTTACAATTTTAAACGTATTGCATCAACTACTAATGTCATTGGCATAATGAATTCGTTAACTTTGATTAAAAAAATTATTACCTTGACAAGTTATGCATGCGTGATATCTTGGAGGAATTAACGGCTTTGATACTGAGGGACATGCCATTCTTGAAAGATAAAAGTACAGGAGGATTTGATGCAAACAAACAAGATATTATCAATTCAATTCTGATTAACATGTTAGAAACAGGATAAATTAGGTGAAAATAAACATTAATGACTCATCTATATTTTTATTTTTAAATTGTAATTAAATTTGAAAAACTTTTTTATTTGTAAAAAACATTTTTTTAAAAATAATTTCAATATGAAATTCAAAACATAACCATGAAAAGAAGAAATGTTATTTTGTTTTATTTTATTTTATGTATACTATCTTATTTTTAAAATTATCTGATGCTTTGCACGATAAACACTAATCAATGGTGAAAGGTGTGCGAAAAAAGTGATTAAGGGGTCGTTTGGTAGAGGAGAAATTTTTTTATCTAGAAAATAATTATTACTAGAATATAGCAGGGAATATATTTTACTGGAATGTAACTAAAAAGCTATTTGGTAGACCCATATTTTCCCTGGAAAATGAAGTTAATTTTAATGAGTTTGTGTTTGGTTGGTTATGAAATATTAGTGGGAAAGTGAGGTTATTTTATCAAAATAACCTCACCTTTACTTTTTCAATTCATAGTCTTTCCTATTTGTGGTACCTTTTTACTTTTTGCCTAAACTATATCTACATAAGGTACAAAACATAGGGTCATTTTTGTCCACCTGTTCCCGCTTCGATTTTCTCTTCCTCGGACTGCCAACAATTCCGTTTTATATTTGGAACTCTTATTTCACATTCCGTACCATATTTATCAAAGAAGACCATTTCCCATAATGAAATGTAGCCCAGAAAATTTTCAAGAATTTGCCTACCAAACATGGTATACATATTTCTCCATCTCAGTTTTTCCATTCTTTCTTGAGATGAGAAAAATAGAGTGAGACATAAAGTGCAAGCCTAAAGCTAAAATCTAAAAACAATAATATTACTTCTATACCTCTTTTTATATCTATATTTTACATTTTTCTTTGTAGAAAAAGTAAAGGATTTTTTTTTAAAAAAAAAAACAAAAAAGAGATGTGGAATGTAAAAAATAAAGAATATGAATAACATTGTTGAAATTTGAAACTACAAAATCACTTAACCAAAGGGATGAGATTTTAAAAATCTGGTGATGTAACAAAATAGTAAAATTGGGGCGGCAATCAAGGAGAGATATAAATTGCTTTGATGGCGCGTTGACAGGTTCTGCTTCAGATTTTATGTATTATCATAAGTATGACGATTATATTTATGACTTTTTTGAGTTCTGTAAATTTATACAACGCCGGGTATCAACATATCATAGCTATACCTTTTAATATAGAAATGCTGATCATTTGCCAGTAGAATTTTTATTTTTAAGTGACCAAGGTGGTTTTGTTTTCCCAAAATACCTCTTTACCCCGTAGGATGTGCTTATAAGGATAGAACTTAATAGTATATTTGGAAGGAGAATATTGGAGAAGATCAAGTAAGGGGGTGGGGTAATTTTTATTTCTAAATCTTGAGAATTAAATGTATATATAAAAAAATAAAAAATTGAAACATTATGATTATTATTGGAATATATTTTGAATTGTTTATGATTATGAATAAGAAGTTAAAAATATTTACCTTTTGACTGTGAATGGTATCATTCAAATTGTGATTTTATATTTTTTTTATAGATATGAAAGCAATCATAATTTCCAGATTTTTTATTTATTTCCCTACTGATTATTGTTGTTTTGCATTGGCATCGTTTGATTGGAGTGCGATTGGTTAAATAGATTGAGTTTAATGGGATGGTTGAATGTGAAAGTGTCACCTGCAGGAGAATAAAAATAATTCATACTATTATAGAAAGTTGTCCATGAAGCTTGAACATCATACAGAACATAAATAATCTTAAGAACCGAATAATATTACCAGACTCAGATTTTTCTTTTTCTGCCATTAATTTATGTCTATTTCTATTTCTATGCTTTAATTTCATGATATTGATGCATTTTTTCCCTAAGAATTATATCTCGTTTTATTCATCTTATTTTTAAAAGTTGTCATATAATAAGAGAATATGTTTACTCCAAATAAAGAATCTCTCTTGACCCTCTTTCCCTTCCCACTAGGGGTGTTAACGAGCCGAGCCAAACTTTAGTCTTAACGGGCCGAGTCTGTGTTCAAATGTGTCAGACTGGCCTTAGCCTGTTACCTGTTACGAATATAATATCAGCCTGTGGCCTAACTCATTTACAAAAAATAAAAGCTTTGTTTAGCCTGTTTAAAAAAAATAATACAACAAAAAATTTATCCAAACAAAATATACAATCAACAGCACTAGTAATTTCATAAATATTCATAAATTTAATGTATATCCAAATAGCATAATATAAAACAAAATTATTTAAAAAGTCTGTTTAATTAATAAAATGGGATGAAATGAATTGAGAAGAGAGAGGGGGCTATCACAATTCACAAGTAGTATAAATAATAATAATAATAATAATAATATATTAGGCAAGCCTGAGAGGCTCTAAGGCCTTTTGAATTGGAGCCTGAGGCCTTTTTATTAAACGAGCTTTTATACAAGTCCAAGTCTGGGTCCAACAATCAATTTTAGACATGTAAACTCAGGCCTTCACGAGCCGAGCCAAAGGCCCCTGACTCGTTTAGCACCCCTACTTCCCACTTCTCCATCCGTAAGTGTGGTCGGAACAATAAATTTTAAGAATTTATTTGATTTATAAAATGATTTTTTTATTTTAAAAGTTATAAAATATGAATTAATTTGGTTTTGAGACCTTTTAAATTTAAGTTGTGTATATTATGAAAATTCAAATTGAATTGGATTTAAGGAAATCAAAATTTAATTTTAATTTTTTCTATTTGAATTGGCAATCTTATTCTTGTTAATTAGTTTATCCATTTTACATATTTTTAAGGTAAGATAGTAAATTGCTACAGTTAAATGCTTTTCATTATATTCATCTGCAAGGGTATTTCAAATATAGAATTTAGTTTACATATCAATTTTAATTAATTTTTTAAAATGAATTTTAGACAAAGAAATTCAATTCTAAATTGAATCGAATCAATTAATTTATTTTATTTTATATTTTAATGGTTCCAAATAGGGGTGAAACTGGGTCGGCCCTGCCTACAGGGGCCTACGGCTCGGCCTACGTCAGGCCAGACCTGACCTAGTATATTTTGTAAAATAGACCGGACTTGGGCATTGAAAAAGCTTGTTTAATAAAAAGGTCGTAGGCCCACTTTCACAAGGCCTGACCTATAAACCTACATGTCGGCCTATATTGTACTATTTATTTTAAATAAAATAAAATAGAATAAGTATGCCTGGAAGAAAAAATAACAGATATAAATTTAATCAATTACAATTATTTATAACTTAATTATATTCGATTATATTTTAATAGAAATATGACTTTATTTCTTATGTAGGAGGAACCAATATCTCATCATGTTAGATTGTGTATATGAATATATTAAAAGGTTTTTGCGAGAGGTTATATTTACTACAAGCATCATGATGTGTTTGTTGGATTCATGTAGTTATTTTAATTTACATAGTATGAATTTGTTTGTTGGATCTGATCAAATATATGTTATTTAGTTTGAGCATTTTGCTTTTGAAAGTGACTTAAATGCATATTATATGAGTTTTGTTGTGATTCATGATTCTGTTTAGACGTTGAAATTATGATTTTTGGTTTAGTAACAGAATTTGAGTATTTTGTAAAGTTGATTCATGATTCTGTTTGGAAGTTTAAAATTAACAGGTTAACGGGCTAGGTCAGACCATTTATTTTTTCATAAACAGGCCAAGCCAGACTAACATGACTCGTACTAGGCTTGGGCCAGGCCAAATTGAAATTTTTTGACGTAGGCTTAGACTTTTCGAAACAAAGTTTGGCCCAGCCCAACCTATCCCATTTTCACCGCTAGTTCCAAACACTGTAAATGATTTCAAAGACGGTGTTGAATCATGTGGCTCTTGATGTGTGAAAATCAAATGATTTCCATGTACAAGTCGTTTTTTATAATTTACTTAAATGCTAAGTTGGATGGCAATGAGATAAAAAAATAAATTCAGTTTGGCAATAAGGGATGGGTTAACTAGATGTAGCTTTAGAGTTTATTGACGTTTTACAGGTAGAGTGGAATGCGATTTTCTTTCCCTTCTCTTGTCACCATTGATGCATCTTTATACGATTAGGATTCTCTTAGATGATATGGTCATGTTAAATAATACATAAAATTATTTACTCCCGAGACGATCATACTTGATCATTAAAAAATATTTTGAATTGTGCACTTGAAGTGAGGGAGACAATTTATTCTTACACCCAGTAATAACATCCATGACCCTATTATAAATGTTCATATTCCTTAATCCCATGTTCATGGTTAATCTGAAACAGCGCAATATATAGTTAACATGATTGGACAAGCCATAATCTCTCTGTAAGTGATGACCATTTCTTGAGAAATGCAGGAAATTAGGTCCAGGACAACATCAACTACATACGGCAAAGACTTATTAAAGAGAAATATAATAGGCAATGCAAGCTATAGTCCAACACTCACTGTTGTTATCCATGACACAACCCATTTTTCATACATTGGCCCAATTATGATTTTTTTTTTTTTTTTTTTTTTTTTTTTGGGATTTTATTGGAAAACAAACAACAAACAAAGACTAAATCCTAGACATCCTAGGGAGGACCACTCCCAGCAGATCTCTGTTGATCAGCTCTAAGCACTCAATGGGAGATCAGTGATCAAAATAGTGAGTTTCCAAATTCTGACGAACAACATGGGAGGCCAGCCAATTATGATTATTATTTGCATTCAGTCTTAATCATACGTAGGATAACGTCACTAAAATTTGGAATAATTAATTAATTAGCGATATAGAACGTAAAATTTATAAAGGCAAAAATATTATAAGATACCACCAAAATTAATTATCAATTCATTTTTGCCGCCTGTAAGTTTATCATGGACCAGCTAAGGAATTTGGTCTTATTGGAATTTCTCTTAAAATAAATTAATAATAAGTTACCCTCAATATTATTCCTTTTAAACTGGCTCCATTTCCTTCCATTTGATCATTAATTTGTTATAGGGTATAGACATGTGTTTAGTTAAAATTATCGAGTCATGTAATAATTTGAGTATGTATCATTGCATGTAAATAAATTGTCTTGGGATCAAATTAGGGTACTCTCAACTACACTATAGATGGATGATGCTATTCACATGTCTCTTCCTTTTGAAGCAAAGCCAATTAAGTGTAGGAAGAATCTAAATGCAGTTTATCACAAAATTATCTTCTATTAGGAATATGATAATGACATTAATTTGGAGATAATTGGACGCGTTTTCTGCTTACATGTTCACATTAATTGTGCATAATTTCCTTGGAGCCTCTTCATTTGCTATATTTTGGAATCAAATTTATGTTCACATGTAAGAGGTCAATATTTATATTTGAGGAATATCTCTTGTTAGGCAGAATCACGCCGAAAATAACGTGTATGGGATCAAGCAAAACAGTAAAATCCTCTTCTTCTTTTAAACTAGGAAAAAGCAAATCACAGCATGTACCCTCTCTTGTGCATTCCATTTGCCATTATATAATAACAAATAGCAAGTTAATTGACAGCTATTATGACACAAGAATAGAATCAGTGCTGAATTGCAATTATAAGACTGTATCAGAATCAGTCACATTAACGCGGCAAAGAATTAACAAGAGAGGTCAAAAGAAAAACAACCACGTCATGAAAGCAGCATAATTAAGCAGAGAAAATGTAACCAAATGAAATGGAATTAGAGAGGTGAAAGTAATTAAAATATGAGTGGAGTTACATTGACAAATATTTTTTTTATAAATTACATTATGTCTGATCCGGTAAACAAAAAATTTGTAAATATAACATTTTTCTTAAAATATATATATATATAAATACCAAAATTTTAGACCCATGGTAGAGCCGGCCAAATGGAAAATACCATTAGAAAACGCCAAAATGGCACACTGTGTTGACAGAAAACCGCTACTGCCACATAGACTTGGCCAATGTTTGATTGTTGTCCCTATTTGACACCTCTCTTACATGTCCTCTACTTAATATAAAACCCTTCCATCTTACACATCTCTTTTTATCTTATTCAAGCAAATATTATCAACATATAAGAGATATTCACAAATTCATTTCTTTGTTTCTGAGATGAATTCAAAGAAGCTAGTGATGAGCTCTGAGACTTCAAGTGAAGAAAAAGAAGATGAGACTGAAGCTTATGGGTGCACATTCTGCAGGAGAGGCTTCACAAACGCTCAGGCTTTAGGGGGTCATATGAATATTCATAGGAAAGACAGAGCTAAGGATAAGCAAGTGGCCACAAACTCTACTACTTCACTTCCAAATGAAGAATCCATGGGCGCCCTTACTTTTGTTTCAGAATATCCAGAGTACAAACCCACAAAGCATTACTCCATTTTGGAGTCTCAGAAGAACTTTGAGATGCATCTTCGTCCACGAACACTTATCCAGAGAAACCAACCTCCTAAACCTGTTCATGGCGTTGATTATGAGTTTCATTTCCCAAGGTCTCGACCTATGAATTCGAACCAAGAGCTTCGGGGTGTCGATTTGAGTCTCCAAATCGGTCAAATTCATGTGGATAATAATAATACTCATCAAGTTAGGAGGAGAGGAACTCAGAAAGATAGCGAAGTGGACTTGGAGCTTAGACTTGGCCATGATCCATAAAGCTATATGTCATCTTTTAATTTAAGGTATATATATTTACATTTCTTTCCATATAATTAGATGGGTCTTTATTTGAGAAGAAAATTACTTGAAATTCTATTATTGTTGTTGACTATATCTCTGTAAGAAGTAGTAGTGCTAAAAAAGCTAGTTTAATATGCTTACTTAACCTTCGAGATTGTATGAGCATTTGACAGTTGAATTTGTGGATATATATAACTGAAGCAGCAATAACCTAGGTTATGATCTTCTTTTCCTTGTTATAAATTTATTTGCTTCGGATTTTAATTATAATTTATAAGATATAATAGTGCTATTTAAAATTAACGATCTTGTACTTGACTTGCCTTTCCTATGTTTCTGTTCACGCAAAAAAGTTCACTTTTTAAGACGATATAGTTAGTGTCATATATATTACGTTAGGGAATTGGAATTGAGGTTTGCAGTAAGAACATGTTCCTGATTTTTGTTCATTATGCATCCAAATCATGATTAATTCATATATACTAATATTAATGTTGATTTCTCACAAGATTGATTTTGATTCATAGATTAGATACTGTAATTGAGTATATGAATCGTATTGCACATGCCATGGCTGGCGTCACCGAATAGTTTTGCATTTAATAGGGTAGAATTGAAGTACCTCAAGAATTTTAATTTGCCAAATTTGAAATTACATATAATAGGGAAGCCTAAGAAGGCAGAGATAGGCATAGGTCGTATACGCATGACATTCCATCCTACACACACTCTAATCATCAATGTCAAATTTATCATTTAATTTTCAGGCACTTAAGGGTAGAATTTACCTTATGTTTTCATTAGAATGCTTTTAAAGTTGATAATAGGTTAAATTGTTCAATGAATAAAAATACGATTTACTTTTTTTGGTCTCAAAATGATTAAATGCACTTGAATCGCTGTTAGTTTTTTTTTTTTTTTTTTTGATAAAACTGCTTTTTGAGCAAATTATTGGGTAAATGTAACCGAAATATATAGAGCTCATAAGTCCACATTATTGTACAAGGGAACAATATGAGAAGAACTTGTGCTGGTGTGAGATTTTGTTGAAGAGAATTGCTTAGGTAAAAATTCATTTCAAAAGAATGATTAGAGAAAATATTTATTCAGAATTCTTTTCGTTATATAGGAGGCATTGTAGACCAGATTTTTTTTTAAAAAAAGGGGGGGAAACTAAAGGGGATAAATAGCACATGGATTAAGATATTGATGAATACAACTCAGTAAATCAAACGTGATCAGTATCACGTGGGTTTCATCATTGACTTGTTACCAAAACTTTTTGTGGTAATATTACAAAGACAAATTAGAGGGCGACTGGGTAAATAAAAATAATAAAAAGAAAAATGATAGTTTTGAATCTTTTATACTATTCAAAGCTATAAGGATTGCTTAACTAGGTGCTTTTAAACTTTATAGGATTTGAGTTCTATGTAAAACCGGCTTCTAAATATATCAAAGCGCCCTTTACGTTTCACAGGCAAATTGTCTGTATGTAGAAAAAAAAAATTGTTGAAAGGCCATTTAAAAGATGATATAATGTATATCAGCTACTTCTTTCTCCTACACTGAATGAACAAGTTCAATGACTTATGTATTTCAAAGGACATGAACGGGATGAAAGGCGAGGTCCAATGTGTAGAGGTAAATTGATATTAAGAGTTGGTTCAATTTTTCATATTAATTTAGTTCACGATAAACACATGGCTTGGATTCGATTATAAGGGTAGTTGGGTTACATGTAAGTTTCCTAAATGTTTAATTAAGTTTTGTACTTTTTTTTTTTTTGGTATTTTTGTTAGATGATGTTTTCGCTAACTTAGAACTTAATTAAGTCTAGACAAGTTTTCATTCTTAAGGTTCAAACCTATGACCATGCATGTGCAGATGATCAACACATTACATGTTCGTTATTACCATTCCAACCCCTTCCACTTAATGGTTGTCTGCTTATTTTGAAAGCTCAAGGTTAAAGTTATAGTATAATCGGTTGAAAATGGTTTATAGAAAAAGAAAAGGTTTGGGGTACTTTCCTTTTGTGTAAATAATAATTTCCACTTGACAAAATCAAATGTTTGCAAATCTTAAAATTAATATTATGCTTCAAAATTAAAAATTTTATGCTATGTAATTTGTAATATCCAAGATCATATCCTACTGTCCATAAAATATGAATATTTAAAAAATAATTGTATAAATAGCTTATAACAGCGACGGGAAAAAAAAAGTTACAATGTGAATACACTGTTAATAAAGAAATAGGACAATTAGGACAATTAATTAAGTGGCTTAAATATTATATTTTTATTATAATTAATTGAAACGTTATTATTTTTTGTAAAGTGTGTATTTCAATTAAATTTATCAGCAAAGCACAATATAGCACAACAGTAATATAAATAAGAGCTTCATAAACCCAAACGTACATTATCGTTGAATACTTTCTGAAACAAAATATGTATACAGGTCAATTGCATGATATATCATCCTTTTGAATCATTCACTTCTTATCTTCTCAAATATCATTTAAGATAGTTATTGGAAAGGAAATTGTTCAAATTACTGGCTAATAATATCTAGGTAATTGAATTATTATGACAGGCAATTTACCATAACTCAAAAGTAAATAGTGGGCGCAAAATTTGTCTTAAAATTAGTGTTTATTCACCTTTTTCGTATTGTTGTTTCTTATTTTAATTTCGAATACCACATTACGTACATCTTCGACTATTAGAAAAGTCTTGTTTATCGACGGTCTTTTGTGACCGAAAAAATTCCATCATAATTACGGACAAAAAAAAAGGGACGGGATAACACTATATATATGCGACCAAATTACTTATGTGACTTCGATACCTGAGAGTCACAATTCCTAAGAAGGTAGAGAGGCTTAAAAGGCAGTTTACAAGGCAAATATGTTATGGGAAAAATGTTTATCTTTTCAAATGACACAACTTATATCCTTTCACTCTTACAAAGAGGTGGGACCCATACCTTTATTTTTTTTGTCAACTCTCTTTCCTCTTTTATCTATCTCTTTCTCTCTCTTAAAATGACACAATTTTACATCATTTAAAATGACACAACTTTACATCATTTAAAATGACACACACTTTATCCATATAATATTGTATAGAAATTTTAAAAAATTGATAAACTTCATGCATGTAGCTAACTGCTCTTATGTTTGTGGCAAACTATACTAGACTAAGTAACATAATATGAATGTGTGAAACCTCAGACTCCATCTCCAATGTATTAAACAAAAGGCAAACTAATAAACATAAAGCAAGAAAGAAAGAGAAAGAATAGATTTCTAGCTTATTCCGGAGAATTACATTACTTATGACACACAAAACAGCAATTATTGTAAAGAACATTGGACAAGAACCTTTTAAATGATGGAAATGATATAGTTATAATTTGAGTAATTAATATTTTTTCCCTGTTAATTAACGAGAGTTGTTTTATCCCCAAATATCTATTGAGCTACTTAGTTCTGGGCACCACACCATTTTGCTGACTAGGGCCTTCTTCGGGTATCTCTCTACTTATAATTTGTTTGAATTAATTTATTCGAAGACATATCATGTTTCGCTATGGCAGTGCAAGAAAAAACAAGATCTTTTTTCTAATTGGGTTGGAATAACAAGATATAGGTGCATTATAAAAAATAAACCTTTTGCTTCGTCGTGTAAGAATTAGAATGAACTTTTTGTCATGAAATCAGTTTATTAAAGATTTTTTTTTTATATATAAACCACAATCATGTTCGAGGTGGATCAAAAATTAAAATTTTAAATTTCTTCTAAAAATAATACTGGAGAGGATGAAATACATTTGATATTTATTAAAGATTTAGTTAGCCACTAAATTTGTTATTTTGTATTGTTAAATTGGTCTTCTTTTGTCATTGTTTTAGTTTTCTATAAAAATAAATATAGTTAAACTTTTTAAAAATAATTCAATAAAAAGTCTTTTAAAAATAACCATAATAATATTTTAAATATTTAAAAAACTATTTTGTTGATAAAAAAAGTTTTAAAAATTAATATAATAATACTCTAACCTTTCATTTTGAAATACAAAGTTAAGAGTTCACACCATACGAACGTCTTTTTGACCCTTTTACCTTTCATTAATTAATTAATAATTATTTTGTCCCTTATTTAAAATTATCTACTAATCTATCCCTCTTTAATCGATTAACTTGAAGATTTAATAGATTAAATAGTTAAAACTGAAAAAAAAATGATTGACTTGAAGATTTGATCAATTAAATCTTGTTTGAGCACTCTCAATGCTCAAACTCTCTGTATGCCTCCCTGTGTTCTCAAATATCCTTTTGAAATGGAATAGTTTGGACCTGTAACTTTCCTGCTGTTGTTCCAGTTCCCGAATCATTTTTTTCCTTTATTTTATTTTGTAATTTATATTTTCTAAAGGAAAAATTCCTCAAGGGATGAACTAACAAGAACAAAACATGGAGCGGTAAAGAAGGAAAACTAAGTTTGTTACTTCTATGTCAAGGGAGATAAGGAAAATAGCATGAGAGAAGCCAGAGTTGCAAATGAAATGGAAATCGTATCAGCTTTGGGGATGGATTTGTGGAGGTATGCATCATCATCACGTCAATATCTTGTTGACCAATTTCAAGTTTGTTTCTATTCACGATGATTTATTAAATCAACCTAAATGCCAAACAGGTTCTGACGGCTACTCAAACACCCGCAGAGGCTGGAAATAATTGGTTCCAAGGAACTGCAGATGCTGTGAGGCAATTCACATGGGTATTTAAGTGCTCAAACAAGATTTACTCGATTAAGAGGAATATTTAATCGATTAAATTTTCAAGTCAATCATTTTTTTTTAGTTTTGACCATTTAATAGATTAAATTTTTAAGTTAATCAATTAAAGAGAGACAGATTAGTAGATAATTTTGAATAAGAGACAAAATAATTATTAATTAATTAAT